CCGATCTTGACAAACAATTTCTGTATGGACCTCGCTTTGTGCACAGGGGCATTGTCATGCTGAAACAGGAAAGGGCTTTCCCCAAACTGTTGGAAGCACAGAATCGTCTATAATGTCATTGTATGCTGTAGCGTTAAGATTTCCCTTCACTGGAACTAAGGAGCCCGAACCATGAAAAACAGCCCCAGACCATTATTCCTCCTCCTCCAAACTTTACAGTTGGCACTATGCATTGAGGCAGGTAACGTTCTCCTGGCATCCACCAAACCCAGTGTTCAGACCCTTTACTCTGTACTTTGTAGAAGCACCTTTGGCAGCGATTACAGCCTTGAGTCTTCTTGAGTATGACGCTACAAGCTTGGCACATCTGTATTTGGGGAGTTGCTCCCATTCTTCTCTGCAGATCCTCTCAAGCTCTGTCAGGTTGGATGGGGAGCGTCGCTGCACAGCTATTTTCAGGACTCTCCAGAGATGTTTGATCGGGTTCAAGTCCGGGCTCTGGCTGGGCCACTCAAGGACATTCAGAGACTTGTCCCGAAGCCACTCCTGCATTGTCTTGGCAGTGTGCTTAAGGTTGTTGTCCTGTTGGAAGGTGAAACTCCGCCCCAGTCTGAGGTCCTGAGCGCTCTGGAGCAGGTTTTCATCAAGGATCTCTCTGTACTTTGTTCTGTTGATCTTTCCCTTGATCCTGACTAGTCTCCCAGTCCCTGCCGCTGAAAAACAACCCCAGAGCATGATGCTGCCACCACCATGCTTCACCGTATGGGTAGTGCCAGGTTTCCTCCAGACGTGACGCTTGGCATTCAGGCCAAAGAGTTCAATCTTGGTTTCATCAGACGAGAGAATCTTGTTTCTCATGGTCTGAGAGTCCTTTAGGTGCCTTTTGGCAAACTCCAAGCGGGCTGTCATGTGCCATTTACTGAGGAGTGGCTTCCGTCTGGCCACTCTACCACAAAGGCCTGATTGGTGGAGTGCTGCAGAGATGGTTGTCCTTCTGGAAGGTTCTCCCATCTCCACAGAGGAACTCTGCAGCTCTGTCAGAGTGACCATCGGGTTCTTGGTCACCTCCCTGACCAAGGCCCTTCTCAGTTTGGCCGGGCGGCCAGTTCTAGGAAGAGTGTTGGTGTTCTCCAAACTTCTTCCATTTAAGAATGATGGAGGCCACTGTGTTCTTGGGGAACTTCAATGCTGCGTACATTTTTTGGTACCCTTCCCCAGATCTGTGCCTCGACACAATCCTGTCTCTGAGCTCTATGGACAATTCCTTCAACCTCATGGCTTAGTTTTTTCTCTGTCAACTGTGGGACCTTATATAGACAGGTGTGTGCCTTTCCAAATCATGTCCAATCAATTGAACTTACCACAGGTGGTCTCCAATCAAGTTGTAGAAACATCTCAAGGATGATCGAGTCTCATAGCAAAGGGTCTGAATACTTACATTACCATTCAAAAGGGTTTTTCTTTATTTGTAGTTTTTTTTACATTGTAGAATAATAGTGAAGACATCAAAACTATGAAATAACACATATGGAATCATGTAGTAACCAAAAAAGTGTTAAACAAATCAAAGTATATACAGAAGATAGCCCATATTATGACAAGAACAGCTCACATAAGCAAAGAGAAACGACAGTCTTTAAGACATGAAGGTCAGTCAATACTGAACATTTCAAGAACTTTTAAAGTTTTTTCAAGTGCAGTTGCAAAAACCATCAAGCGCTATGATGAAACTGTCTCTCATGAGGACCGCCACAGGAATGGAAGACACAGAGTTACCTCTGCTGCAGAGGATACGTTCATTAGAGTTACCAGCCTCAGAAATTGCAGCCCAAATAAATGCTTCGCAGAGTTCAAGTAACAGACACATCTCAACATCAACTGTTCAGAGGGGACTGTGTGAATCAGGCCTTCATGGTTGAATTGCTGCAAAGAAACCACTACTAAAGGACATCAATAATAAGAAGAGACCTGCTTGAGCCAAGAAACACAAGCAATGGACATTAGACCGGTGGAAATGTGTCCTTTGGTCTGGAGTCCAAATTTGAGATTTTGGTTCAAACCGCCGTGTCTTTGTGAGACGCGGATGATCTCCGCATGTGTAGTTCCCACCGTAAAGCATGGAGGAGGATGTGTTATGGTGTGGGAGTGCTTTGCTGGTGACACTGTATTTGATTTATTTAGAATTCAAGAACACTTAACCAGCATGCCTACCACAGCATTCTGCAGCGATACGCCATCCCAATTGTTTTTTCAACCGGACAATGACCCAACAGACCTCCAGGCTGTGTAAGGGCTATTTTACAAAAAAGGAGAGTTATGGAGTGCTGTATCAGATGACCTGGCCTCCACAATCCACCGACCTCAACCCAATTGAGATTGTTTGGGATGAGTCGGACGGCAGAGTGAAGGAAAAGCAGCACTCCATCACTCTAGCTAAAATATCGAAAAACCAGTTTTCTCTTTGTCATTTTGTGGTATTGTGTGTAGTGTGGCATACCGCGGACTAGCCACCAGGGGGAGACTTGTCAACACCCTTGAAATTGAGCTATCACACTTGTGTCCGTGTCTGATCAGTGTAAACGTTTTGATCTAGACCCTGGTCTGCCACAGTAGATTGATGAGGGAAAAAAATGTATTTGATCCATTTTAGAATAAGGCTGTAACATAACAAAATGTGGAAAAAGTCTGAATAACTTCCGAATGCACTGTATAGTGTATAAGGTCTGTGAATAGCTCAACCATTGTGAATAATAATATGAAAATAAATAATAATATGCCATTTAGCAGACACTTTTATCCAAAGCGACTTACAGTCATGCGTGCATACATTTTTTGTGTGTATGGGTGGTCCCGGCGATCGAACCCACTACCTTGGCGTTACAAGCGCTGTGCTCTACCAGCTGAGCTACAGAGGACCACCCATACACAAAATGAAATACATTAACAAAATAAATTGAAAAGCTGTAGACTAGCCCCGCTAGGCCTACTGGTGTGCTCATGGCAATGCATTATCTATATGTTTTATGAATAGTTCCAGGCCAATATTGGAAGGTAACAGTGGAGGCTCCTCAGAGGAGGAATGGGAGGATAAACTATACTAAATATATTCACATCACCAAATAATTGATTGCAAGAAAGGTCTACAGTAGCCTCAACAGCACTCTGTAGGGTAGCTGGAGGACAGCTAGTTTCTGTCCTCCTCTGGGTACACTGACTTCAATACAAAACCTAGGAGGCTCATGGTTCTCAACCCCTTCCATAGACTTACACAGTAATTATGTCAAATTCCGGAAGATGTCCTCTAACCTATCAGAACTCTTGCAGCATGAACTGACATGTTGTCCACCCAATCAAAGAAAGGATCAGAGAATGAATCTAGTACTGAAAGCATAAGGTACAGCTAGCTAGCACTGCAATGAATACAATGTGGTGAGCAGTTGACTCAAAGAGAGAGAAAGACAATAGTTGAATAGTTTTGAACAAATTATTTTCTTCAAAAATGAAGGTGAAGCAAGAGAGAGCGAGAGAGAGAGACAGCTATATCTCATTGTATTTATTTTTTCACTTTCACTTACTTAGCTAGCGAATGCAGCTAGCTAGTTTCGCCTACTCAAACACCCAGCTCAGATAGGGATGCCATGTTAGCTAGCTGGCTATGGCTATCCAACACTGGAACTTTTCCAAGTCAAGGTAAGCTTTTGGTTTTATGAATTTATTGCCACCAGGGCCCGCCGGTGTAACTGCTAAACTGTTTGCTGACTGTATACTGTACGCATGATTGTAGCAGGTTTTTCTAACGCGTTAGTTCTAGTAGCTATGTTGACTATGATGTTAGCTAATATGGTGACAACGATGTAGGCTGTGTGTAGTGGTTAGCGGTTATGATATGAAGGTTTGGCTTGGAACGTTTTTTTCGCCTGGTCACAGACAGCTGATGTGTTGTCCACAAGCGAAGGGAAAAGGTGAGAGGAGGATAGTGCGTAGATGAGAAAATGAATTATTGAGAGCAAGTAGATGCGAGAAGGAATTAACAAGCGAAGTGATCATGCTGTTTGTATTTGGCTGCTATGAAAGTGAACTGTGTTTGTGTGTGATCAGGGGTGTATTCATTCCACCGATTCTGTTGAAAAACGTTTCTTAAACGGAAGCAAACAGAACGAAACAGGGATAAACATACCTGAATTTGTCCAATAGAAACTCTTGTTTGCAACTTTTGGACTAATGATTACACCCTAGATAAGCTAGATGCAGGCAAGAGTGTGCAAGGCAGTATTGAAAGTGTCACTGTTTGTCACCTTGATTACTCAAGTTCTTCTCTTGACCTGTTCACCTACGTTCTAAACTTTCATTCATAGGCTAGGTTGTAGCAACCTCATGATGGGTATAGGGAAAATTGGAGTATCATGTATTAACCTAAACCTATCGATGTTACATTGAGCTGGGTGAATGGAATATGAATGACAGTCATCCAATATGCTCTAATAGAAATAAGGCCATTGTCACGCCCTGACTTATGTGACTCTGGTATGTTGAGTCAGGGTGTGGTGTTCTATGTTGTGTTTTCTATGTTTTCATTCTAGTCTATGTCTATGTTTGGCCGGGTGTGATTCCCAATCAGAGACAGTTGTCGCTCATTGTCTCTGATTGGGGATCATACTTAGGCAGCCTATTGGCACTCGTTAGTTGTGGGATCTTGTTCCGGTTTAGGCTTGTTTTGTGTTTAGCCTTAGGACTTCACGTTTCGTTGGTTTGTTGTTTTTGTTCGTGTGTTTATCATTGTAATAAACATGTATGCCTTTCACGCTGCGCCTTGGTCTGACCCGTCCTTCAACGAACGTGACAGCCATGCTCATAACAAAAATTATCGGCCTCCCTCATCTTAAACGGCACCGACCGCCACTGCAAGGTAAGCACATATGATGACAATAAAATTTGACTGTTGGTCTGATAACAACTTCCTACTGTTGACTTCGTATGATAAAGAAGACATGTTCCAACACCAATAAATGATTTTTATTCAATTATATTACAACATTTCTGTGTATATCTGTTTTATAGCACCTATATAGAATGAGGGTTTATCATATGGTCAGGTCAGTCAATATATCCATTACATTTACATTGAATACATGGACAAATAGGCTTGGATTACAAACATATCATTAAATAATTTGCACCTTTGGAACTAAGATCAGTGCATTTTTTTTATAACTGACCCTATCAAAGCATGTTCTGATGTAATGGCAGCTTGATCGAATTAATGATCAAATACACTAATGCTAAACATAAGTTAAAGACACATTTTTGTGAATAGCACCATAAGTAAATATGTATTGCATAGTGATGTATACAGTATCATACATGATTGAGCAGTAGTGGTTGGTTTTCTTGTCTCTCATCACTGATCACAGAACTAGGACAACAAATACTAGTGGCATTATTCATTTTAACACTTTCCCTACATATCTTACAAACATATTGACTTATAATAAGTTATAAGCAAGTAAATGTTCTGTTTAATGTAAGTAATGTTAGAGTATAAGTTAATGTACACACGACAGAGTTTACTATGATGTGCTAAATAGGTTTTGAAATGCAAGTCTTGATTGACCATGAATATTACCTGACTGAATGCACTCTTTGCACTCTCTGTGTACCATGATTAATGTAACAAATACAATTCCCACTTAGTGCTACTGAGCAAAGAACACAATTTCCTTCTTGTTATAAGCTAGTTAGTCTCATAAGTAAGGCGCAGCCTTCATAAGCAGGCTTATTATAACATACAAGAGCAACATTTATTGATACTGGCAAAGACATGACCAAATCTACTTCATATTATTCTCTCATACATAAGGCACAGCCTCATAAGCATTTCTATAATGGTGGTATTTTATATTGAAAGGAGCAGCAACAACCTTGGACAGGCCATATGCAAACAGAGCATGATTCTCTGTTTACTATTTCACAGCACAAGTCTGTGTAATGAAGCACATTTTTATGTGAAATGATAAAGCAGCATCAGTAGCCTACCTTATTACACAGAACCATGAACTTAAGCCATCTCATAGCGCCTCTTAAGAGAACCATAAAGAAAAAGAAAATGTCCTGACTCAGTCTTCCTGGTACAGCCATGTCAGTTGAAACTGAGTACGTGACTGGAGTTGCTTCTCATTTCAAGAGACAAAGGCAAGATAAAGACCCATTCAAGTCCAATGAGGGTTGGGGTTAAAGGTCACTGTGCTGAATGGGGGGCTCCAGTTTGTTGGACAGGGCAGTCAACACCTGGTCAAACTTGGTGTATCGCTCTGCCTGGTTCTCTACCGCCCCCCGACTCCCCCACAGCAACCTCATCTGGAACTCTGTGAGGAAGAGTTCTAGAACCTCAGCTTGCTCCTGGAACCCTGTATGTCCACAACAACACACAACAACATAAAGAAATCACCATTAAAATCTAATTCATACATATCCAACAACACCATGAATATGGTGTTCATATACGTGGTAAATTGTGTTGGTGTCGTGGTGGCAAACTTTTATGAAATACTTAATATCACAACATATATTTAATCTGTATCTCAACATAGATTTAGTCCACATCTCAACATGGTTGTAGTCTGTATCTTGACATGGTTTTAGTATGTATCTCAACATAGATTTAGTCTATAGCTAAACATAGTTTTAGTCTGTATTTCAACATAGATTTAGTCTGTATCTCAACATAGTTTTAGTCTGTATTGCAACATGGTTTTAGTCTGTATCTCAACATGGTTTTAGTCTGTATCTCAACATGGTTTTAGTCTGTATCTCAACATGGTTTTAGTCTGTATATCAACATGGTTTTAGTCTGTATCTCAACATGGTTTTAGTCTGTATCTCAACATGGTTTTAGTCTATCTCAACATGGTTTTAGTCTGTATCTCAACATGGTTTTAGTCTGTATCTCAACATGGTTTTAGTCTGTATCTCAACATGGTTTTAGTCTGTATCTCAACATGGTTTTAGTCTGTATCTCAACATGGTTTTAGTCTGTATCTCAACATAGATTTAGTCTATAGTTAAACATAGTTTTAGTCTGTATTTCAACATAGATTTAGTCTATAGCTAAACATAGTTTTAGTCTGTTTTCAACATAGATTTAGTCTGTATCTCAACATAGTTTTAGTCTGTATTGCAACATGGTTTTAGTCTGTATCGCAACATGGTTTTAGTCTGTATCTCAACATGGTTTTAGTCTGTATCTCAACATGGTTTTAGTCTGTATCTCAACATGGTTTTAGTCTGTATCTCAACATGGTTTTAGTCTGTATCTCAACATGGTTTTAGTCTGTATCTCAACATGGTTTTAGTCTGTATCTCAACATGGTTTTAGTCTGTATCTCAACATGGTTTTAGTCTGTATATCAACATGGTTTTAGTCTGTATATCAACATGGTTTTAGTCTGTATCTCAACATGGTTTTAGTCTGTATCTCAACATAGATTTAGTCTATAGCTAAACATAGTTTAGTCTGTATTTCAACATAGATTTAGTCTATAGCTAAACATAGTTTTAGTCTGTATTTCAAGTTTGTATCTCAATATAGTTCTGGTGAACATAGTACAAAGACCTACTCCCACCCTCTTACCCTGTAGTTTGTTCTCTGCGTTGGAGCAGTAGTTGCCCCCCAGTTGTGCCATGGTACGTGCCACCGCCAGATGACTTATCACCACATCCATCCCCGCTTCCACCGTCTCCCACGGCTCCGCCCCATCTGCCATCGCCACACTCTTCTCCAGGAGGGACAGGAGGGGCACCACGTGGGGGAAAGATGTGTTGGATAATGCACAGCTCTCTAAAAAAGAGAGGAGAGGAAGAGGTCAATTAGGCATTGCATTGGACATACAGTATACTCTCACTAAGGTCAATGTTTGCATTCACTGCTCTTAAGGGGTGAGACAATGGGTGTGTCAGAAATGGCACCCTATTCCCTAGGCTCTAGTTAAAAGAAAGAGACTATTTAGGGAATGTAGGCTAAATGTCATTGGGGAGAAATTAGAATGAAGTACCTTTCCCATCGTTCATGCGCTTCATGAAAGGCTTCAAGGTTTTCTCATAGAGGATAGCGCCCTCTGTGTGTCGCTGGCGTAACACCATCCACGTCTGCTCCAGACGGGAGATCTGAGAGGTAAAGAAGATAAATGCTCATCAATGCACTGATCAATATAACTCATGCTTTACCTCCCCTAATTGTAAACTGCTCCACATACTACAGTTACAGTAGTTATGTATGAGTAACTCTCCAGTTCCAATGCCCATCCGTATGTGCTGTACCTGTGGCAGCTCTAAGGTTCTCATGATTGCGGCGAAGCCAAACATGTTGCCCAGGTTGCTCTTGAGCTCAGCAGCCATTTGGATGGTTTTGTGCAGCAGGGAAGCTCTCTCCTCAGTGCTGCCAGTACAACCCAGCACATCCACAGCTAGCATGATGGACATGGTCTGGAACCTGGATGATAGGGGGATAGTCGAGGTGCAGAGAAAACAGAGACTTTACAAAGACTTCAATTAAACTGGTGAATTTATAAATACAAGGAAGCTGACACAGACACAGCAAAAAATCAGGAAAAAAACCAAAAAGCGTGTAAAGCAATGTGAAAAGTAATGCCAGTCCTCACCTTTCCAGCAGGTCCAGACGGAGTTGGTGACCGTGTGGGAGGGTCAGTAGCTCCATCCCAGAACTTACACCCATCTTCCTCTGCATCTCTGGAGTCACGTTCAATATCCTGGCGACCTGAGGACCAGAAACATGGTAAGAAAAGGATGTGTTTGGGTTGTACAATGAGGGAGTGTATGTGTGTGTGTCAGTACCATGCAGTCAGCCTTGGTGATGTGTTTAGCCGCTGTCTTGGCATCCACCTGGGCTAGCAGCTCCTTGACCCTCCTCAGCACCCCCACCTCCAGGGGCCTGTTCTCCTTGGGCATCAGTGGGGACTGGTACCTACTAGGCCGGAAGGCAGAGGCTGTTTCCACTATAGGGACCTCATACACATTCTCCTCCTTCACAGGGTCTACAACACTCAGACCCTCCTCTTCCGCACACAGCCGCTTCACATAACTCTGAGCTGGTGGGGTGGCAGGACAGAGCTGGCTGTAGCTGCTATCTGTGTCTGGAATCAGATATATGTGGGTTGGGGAGGCCTGGACTCTGGTGGTCTGTTTTGTGTTGTTGTTGGGGGAGGGTGAAGGAAAGGGTTGGGTCCTGCTGCTGGAGCGTCTGGAGACAGATGGAGAGGGAGCCACCCCTGGCACTCTGATGACATGTGGACTCCTGGGCTGCTGGTTGACTTCAGATACAAGCAGAGGAAATTCCTCAATAATGAGTTACACAATATCACACTATGTCACACTTCATCCCCCTTCTCCTCTCCCCTGTATCTATTCCCCAGGTCGTTGCTGTAAATGAAGATGTGTTCTCAATCAACTTACCTGGTAAAATAAGGGTAAACAATTAAATAAATACAAATGTAAGTATATTATGTCAGTCCTTTCCCATGGAGGTTTTTTTATTTGAAACGTAAGTCACTGGGAAGCAATTGAAGAGTTGTTATGTGGCACTCTCACAGTGCATATCTTTGATCTTGTGAATGTAGTGCTGGTGATGTTTTGCTGCACAAAAACATCCCCATACATGTTTCTAAACTCACTGATTGGTGAAGGGAGTGGGTTCTCTCCAATAGGTGAAGAGGGCTGATGGATTTTCTCAATCTGATCCAAGTTGAAGCTACAGCTCCTGACTGCCTCCCTGTGGTGAACAGTAGAAGGGCTGTAGACACACACACACACACACACACACACACCTTTAGTCAAAATCAACAAACTATATTTGAAGCATAAATTCACTGCTCACAGCCAAACTGGTGTTGTATTCAAAAGAACAGATGACAGTGCAGATGAGAACAAGTCTCACCTCAGCGGGCAGATCTTGTCCATCACATTCCCACTCCGGCTCTTGACCAGAGCCTCTTTCTGACAGGAGGGAGAGTTCAGATAGCCCTTGTGGTTGGCCAGAGTGAAGGCTGCCTCCAAGTAGTGTAGTGGTAATGTACGATTAACGGGACTGTGGATCTGAGCCCCACTCTGATGAGTCAAAACCATCCTGTTCCCCACGTAGAAGTGAACCAAAGCAGGCACGGAGTCGAAGGCCTCTCCCTCCAGGGTGTACTGGACCCGGGTGTAGGTCTCACTGGTCTGAAGCAGGACCTTGCTTATTAGGAAGTGCAGGGTGTTGTGGTTCCAGCGGCTGGTCAGCACATAGTCTTCCAGGCTGGAGAGAGAGTCTCGGATGAGGAAGTCACCATGGTGCAACACCAGAGTCTCTGACACCTGCCAATCAAAGACACATCAGTTAAGGAGAGCTAGAGATGATTAAGAATGTCATGCGTGGGTACGTGCGTTTGAGGGAGCAGGGGAGCCTCACCTCCCAGGGGATGTGTCCATGGTACCAGCCGTGGCTCAGCAGGTTGCTGCTGCTGAGTTTCAGCTCCTCCTCCAGCTCTCTGCGCAGCTTCTCAGATGGGACGTCCAACCAGAACCTCTCCTTGGAGAACTTAAAAGACATAGGAAGCAAAGGTAAGACGTAGAGAAGAGATGAAAAAAAAAATCTACTTCATAACCCCTGTGAAACAACAGTTATCTACGTAGATTCAGCACCAGACAGTGGAAACAAGTCACTTTGCAGCCTTTCCACCGGTTAGTCTGTTGTGAAATACAGTAGATAGAGTGAAGCAGGGAAGGGTAGAGAAGAAAAGTTGGGTATTCCCACACTGGCATTTCACCAGAGCGCAGTCTTGGGCAGGTTGTTGCGGTAACGTTATTGTGTAGCTTAGCCATCAGTCAGCCAAGCTCTGTCACCTCTTTACACACAGTCTCCCAGATACAGTAGATCAAGCACCCTGACCCTCCAATCACCACTTGTTTAAATGTTTCTTGGAATTCATTTTAAATGGGCGGATCTACTGGTCCTAACGACTGTTCCCTTCTCAAGCCTTCGCCTACAGTAGGTGACATGTTGTTTTCTCAAACAAAAACTTTTCCCTCTATTGAATGGTTTGTCCCATGGGACCTTGTGCAAATCAGGCTGATTGGCATTGGTCCAAAAACACTTGAAGAGACCTACAGACCTAGAACTCTCATGAATACTTTGGATTTAATTAATGACATACCGGTTTGTTGCATCAAGATAATTTCGCATTTCAAGGAGGGAAAGTGTTATTTTAAATACAAAAACAGTTAAATATAATGTTTTTTAACCCTTATTTTACCAGGTAAGTTGACTGAGAACACATTCTCATTTACTGCAACAACCTGAGGAATGGTTACAGGAGATGAATGAGCCAATTGGAAGCTGGGGTTGATTAGGTGACCATGGTGGTATGAGGGCCAGATTGGGAATTTAGCCAGGACACCGGGGTTAACGCCCTACTCTTACAATAAGTGCCATGGGATCTTCAGTGACCACAGACAGTCAAGACACCTGTTTACCGTCCCATCCGAAAGACAGCACCCTACACAGGCCAATGTCCCCAATCACTGCCATGGGACAAAAACATTTAGACGAGAGGAAAGAGTGCCCTCCAACACTACTTCCATCAGCATCTGGTCTCCCATCCAGGGACTGACCAGGACCAACCCTGCTTAGCTTCAGGGGCAAGCCAACATTGGGATGCAGGGTGGTATGCTGCTGGCAAGTGTTTATTTAAATTTTTATTTTTGGGGGGGGGGGGGAGTAACTCACTTTTCTTTTATTTCTTTTATAAATGTTATTATTTTTTACAATAGTATTTTTATTGTACTTTTTTTTATATATATAATTTTTTATATGTAATATATATTGATAAAATAAAGCATAAAATTGTATGGTTGTCAAGTTAGAGAGGATCCAATGATAACAAGTGAATGTATCTGAATTCCTTCAGTCTTTCCCTCTCCACTAGGCATAACCAGTCATATCCAGATCAGGCTCAGTTGCCCACAGTTACCCAGTCAGCTCTAAACTATTCCTCTGGAATGAGCAGGCTTCCCAACTCTTTTATGTCACCGATCCTAATTCAATTAGAGCTTGACCGCTGCGCACACTGTGATCCCCACCACAGTTCTCCTGGTTCCACACAAACACAGCAAGAGAGGGGATTCTAAAAACAACACACTCTATAGGAAGTTTTGCCATGCTAAGCAGGCTCCTCTGAGTTTTATGTTCGAGAGAATGTCTCAAAAGAACCATTTATAATAAAAATATCCATATTAGATTAGTAGTGAGGAGGAGGTAAAAGATCTTACCTTCACATATTCGCATTTGCTATCAATGGGATCCAATTGGCTGGAAGAGAGAGGGGAAAACATCATGTTAGAATGGAAATATATGTTCTTCATTGGGATGACACAGCATTCAGGGCCCTGTCCTCTGTGTATGTACTTCCATCCTCTATGTGCCTCCACTAGGGGAAATAGGCCTATTACATAACAATCTAGTAGGAGTTCAAATCTGCAATACCTTCAAGATATGTCCTAATATGACAACTCCCAGCAACAGCCTGTTACATTAAACAAAAACTATAATGGAAGACGTGAGGCATGTCAGGAGCTTTTGAAAAGTGTTACTTTGGACTTTCTGTTGTTCCTCAGCCAAGAGTGTAGCTACAAGAGTACTGTCAAGAGACATGACCTCTTGTTCCCATGAACTCAATCTCTTTAGACACACACACACGCGCGCGCATACACACACACACACACAAACACACACAGCTGCTCCTCGTCCTCCACCACATACCATTCTTCCCCCCTCTCTTTCCTTCCAGCTAAAGATACATTCACTAACAAACACACATATATGGCCCACAGGGGTCTCAAACTACAATAACACAGACTGAGATAATGATGACAAAAACCAGCAGCAGAACTATCTTTCATTATCTGACAAGAAGAAGAATCTGCAGACTTATTTCCCTTTTTCCTATGATGCTTAATAAAGCCAAGCTCCTCTGACTGCCATTTCAGTTTGAGCCAAGGAACCTCCCTGTTCAGTACTTGGCCGGATGGGTTTCCCTAGATGAAGAGCCATATTTACAGCATAAACTAACGTCATCCAACAGTCATGAGGCAGCTGTGTATGGGGGCGACACACACACACACACACACACACACACACACACACACACACACACACACACACACACACACACACACACACACAGCCCCTTGATGTGGGTTGTGGCTCAAAACAATAATAAGCATCTCATACATTATGACCTGCAAACACTTAACATTGTACACTGCCCATATACATAAGGAGTACACACTAAGTAAGTTATGTCACAGATTATGATAGAGCAGTGTCACTGTCAGGAGAATTTAGGAAAGAGAGAGGTTTCACAGATCACACTCATGACTATGAAAGCTATATCCTTTGAGTGAGTCTAGAGTTTAGAGCTTTACACTAAAGACACTTGACCAGTGCCGCCTCTGCCTATACGGAGACTACGCGCTGAGCGTAAGGCCCTGCGGCCGTTAGGGGAACCTGCCACCCCTGTTGCAACCAAATCTTGCAGAGGACCCCCAAAAGGCAAGAGGGGGCTTTGCACTTGACAGAAGAACATGATCAGGCAAAATTAATCACTATTGACAAGCTGTCTATTGACCTCAGCATAGAGAGTAAAATGACCCCTGATCTGCTTCCATACTTCATCTATACCAGCGGCATTTAGCTCAATATTGTTTCCTCTCTTCTATAGACTAACAGGCAGTGGAATCCCGGTCTGCACATAATGTCTAGGACAGGGTTCCCCAATATGCAGCCCCACGGGGTGATTTTTGTTGTTGGACATTTCTGCAAAATAACCAGCAAATTAGCTCAAAGTGATTTTAATTTAGGAAATCTGTTCCCAAGTATTCCCATGCATAAATAGAGAGGCATATGTGATCGTATCCCAATGTAATCATCATTATTATTTTCAAATACTATATCTGTTTGGGATTCTTGTGGTAAATTTGCAGTGCAAAAATTATTTAGAACTATGTTTCAGACCCGACCATCCGCTCAAGGGAAAATCGTCCCACGGCTGAATGTAATTGGGGACCCCTGGCCTAGGGGAATGTCAGGGAACATAAGGTCAAGTTCAACTGGCTGAGAGATCAACTAACTGTTAGGACAATCAGAAGTCAGTCTGGACCATAGACTGTATGGTCGCCACTCACTGGACAAAGAGCACTGGCCAGCCTCAGTAATAATGTCATCCTTTCGCTGAAATGCAGGAAAACGTCCAAATTCCTTAAGCAATACACATTACATAACCCATTCCCCCGCTCCCCAAATGACAAACAGCCACTATAGGCGAGGCTACCATAGGACATTAAACCTAGAGCTCACTGTCCGAAGCTGAACATTTCATGCCAATATGGTTTATTAATGTTTCATAAGAAAATAGATGTATTCATGTATATCAAGATATACTGTGTGGCAGTAAGTCACTTCAGGACATCATGCAGCTATTGAATATAATTAACTAGGATGTATTAGTTGTTTGTGCAGTGTGCAGGCTGAAGGCTGCAACTGCAAGATGTTATTACAATGTAACAAAATGACATTAATGCAACATCTGTGAATGTTACAATGTCCAAAACATAAAAACAAACCGTTTTCAAACGAAAGTGCTCAGAGAGAACATGACTAAGTTATGCAGTCAAGGCAATAAACAACCTATGAACTAGAACCTGAATTTATCCATCAAACGTAGATCCACCATGAAGTGGTGGAATTGTGTTATCATGAGAAATATAGAAATCTGACCTTATTCCCATGGTAGTAAATACTCGAGACGGAATCGAACCGTAACCTATAGCATGAGTTTCGCACATCTCTAGCAGTCTAGGATCTCAAGTCATTGCGCTGAACTGAACTGAAATACATGAGGAGCAAAGGCTGCTCCCGTCCACGCGCTGAGCGCAAAGACAGTGCAGGGGAGGAACCTTCAGCCCATGCTTATTATTGTCGGAGTCGAATTATCGTTTTGCTATTCTACAAGACCTTTCAAATGTAGGTTTATGGGCACATCCAATTTTGAACACGATTAATTATACGTCCCACCTCGAGAAACAGATACACTGTCAAACCAAGTGTTCAGGATCTGAACACTTAACTAAACACTTTTCTGTAACACTTCGAGGGGGTGTTGTTTTAACACTGTTGGGTGTAAAGCCATAGTTGCATATTTCCCAGCATGCCTTTTAACTGAATGTGACACCCATGACTGTGGTTGTTCCATTCAATTATTTATATTCCTGGAGCCTTCACCAGGTGACTGCCTAAGTGAACGTGTTTCATTTAAAAGTAAATCCTTTATGACCACATATACATTTCATATGGCCTAGTAATCCTCAATATTGTGGTCAGAAAATCCTGGCTCATTGGCCACATCAAACTCCTCATGCCTATTGGAATCCAGCCAGAGGGAGGATATCCAATAATTGGAATATTTTATCACCCACAACCTGCACTCAGAATGCCTGCTATGGTGAAGGACTTTTAAAACAAGACTACCTAAGCCATCTAAACTGGAACAACCTTCTCAGTAAGTCCAACCCCTTACATATTGGATTAGTTTAGAAAAATGTAAGTTATTTATCTTTGTATAGTATAAGATAAATTCATCAATCAATTAATGTGCATGAAGAAACATAGATATTAAAACAAACGATTCTAAAAATCAACCTGCAACAAAGCATGCAGGTGAATATGATAATGGTCCCCTCCAAAAATCATTTCCACTCAGAGAGTTAACAGAAATGAACTCAACACAGTCGCGTAGCAACACCACGCGATGGAAAATATTTGTTGAATCAAATGTCCTGTTCCGTTGTGCTGAAATGTAGGTAAGGTGACAGACATTCCTAACACTGATCTGATTAATAGGCATGGCATTTCTAATGACTGAATGCACTCTAAACAGGACGATGGGAAAGTAAACACTAGTGTTTAAAATCTGAACACTTAGGAGATACAGGCGTTTTCTTGGTTGGAAACTCACTGGAAAAAGCTGACTATCATGTTTAGTCTTGCATTCTAAACGCGTGTGTTTAAGGTGAGAACACTTATTGGCAAATCGAAATGCCTGATGTTTAATTTTTATACATGTCACATGTTTCATGGTTTTACAGTGTAGGTTGGCTAATGCAACTTCACTTCAGACCACTTTTGCAGGATAACATATGGCACTAGAGTACAGTCATTCCATTCTTCAAAACCTATGTCTGTCAGTTACAAATTCTTGAATTCAGAGATACAGATAACATTTTCGATATTTTCTTTGAAAAATAAATATAAAGGCTACAGAATGTATCAATTCATCTCACACACATCCCTTGTGTTGTGATAAATCAGTTTCTCACCAGTCAAATGTCTCCATCCCCTGTGAATCTCCCAGAGTCCTGCTTTCATCATCCTGTGTCTTCTCCTCTGTATCTCTGTGGACCACCTCTACAATAGGGTCCATCACCTCATACAAGTCCTTGGTAAGCGCTGTGGGTGACACTGGGCCAGAGTAGTACTGAGTGCTCTGGGAGGAAGGCATAGTGGCAGGGTCAGGCACACAAGGATTGGTCCTGGTCCTGGCTGCATTGACCCCTGAGTGGTCCTCACTTGTCAATGGTGGATCTTGATTTCCTGAGGGTTTATTAAGTGCTGAGGTCTTGGGTACCTCATATGAGCCTTTACGGGATGGCAGTGTATCTGTGTCACAGCTGGGTGAGGGAGAGTGGGTGGGGGCCTGAACCACTGGCAGTGTTTTCCCTGTAAGGCCACCAGGCAATGGTTTCTCTAAAGAAAAAAGATGGGCACTAGACAGGGCACTCAGAAGAGGAGAATCTTGTACATAGTCCCCAGCTTGACACTGGCTCTGCCCTCTACTGATCTCACCTTTGCTACTCCTTTTTTTATTTGACCCCTTGCTGCTTTTCTGCCTCTCCTTTCGAGGCACGGTACCTACGTGTGTGTACATGTCACTGGAGCGAGCATAGCCTGGACTGTGGAGGCTGGTATCCATGTCATCAACTGAGTTGGCCCCCAAAGTTGTGTCACTGCGGCGCCCATCAGGCTTTGAGGTTATCTTGGAGTCTGTCTTGTCTGATGAACGACGGATGGAGAGATTGGACAGACTTTCAAACCACTTGAGACCTGGGGAGAGAAAGCTAGATTGCCTTATTGTATCCACTGTTGCCTTGACTCATTTGATATTCTGATACATTGGTGTTCTGTGGTACAGTATGTGCTTGAGATTTCTCTCTTAATTTTTATCATGTGAAAAATATTATTTGTTTACTCTCTGCTCAATAATGCCTGGAATGTTTTCACATGCAAGCCGAGCATGCTGAATCCCTCACCGGATTCATTTCTGAAATGAGAGCTGAACTCTTTGGTTGTTTGATTATGTTTCTTCCCTGGGGACCCATTAGAGCATGAAAACGTGATGCAGGCATATTGAATGCCTCTAGCCTGCCTCCAGCTAAATATAACGAGGATTCCTCAGGGGTTTTTGAAAGGAGTGGGAGAGGGAGAAATTGGGGGAGATACAATAGAGGAATACTAAAATGTTCCTTACGCTAGTCATTTATTTACTTTTCAGAGACAAATTAGGCCAGAGGGTGGTGTACTCTGGACCTGAACGGCTAGCTTTGGCACTGAGAGAGTTATCAAGGGAAACTTGAGGAAGTAGAACTATAAGCATGTTATTATGCAACAGATGTAGCCTACTATCTGATCAGGATTTTAATCTTCAGCGCAATATTAGAGAGATTTCCTTTACTCAAATTATTTTCAAATTATGTTTTTGGTCCTGATGGTCAAGTTTAAATGACATAATGACCTTTTACTGTCGTTATACACTTCAAACTACACACACACACAAATACATGACCTAATCCCTAATACCAACAAACATGCCTTTGTTGTCTATAGAAGGCTGGCTTGTCTTAGTAAGAGTTGGTTTTATATTGTATGCCATCGTCAGTCTCCATTTAGTGCTCAATTGAGATGCTATTTGAAACAAAACAATGAGCCATCTATGATTTTGTTTACAATAGCATATAAACCTGAATAGTGTTTTTATAAGTGGAGCAACAGCAGACAATGAGTGAACTGACAGAGAAACAAGAGTCAATAGAACTCATTCATTACAAATATTCACATTAAGAGATGAGGAGCATCCTCCCTTTCCCTAACTCTGACTCATAAAATAGCCAGAGCTCTAGGATTGTTGCATTCTGTGATCCTTCTTATTATATACTGTAGTATTGATTGCGAATGAGACATTTATTAAGAAAAACAAAACTTACTCAGTTTTCGTTTGCTCATGGTTTGGGATAGGTTTAGAGGTGTAAGGATACAGTTCCTATTATCATCCTTGTTCTTAGACAGTCTATATGAGGACAACTCTGATACACTTCTTGAACAGAATGCAGTTCCCACAGTGCAGTAGTGTGATGAACAGCATACATTTGCCCAACAGAGAAATGTTCTTCCTGTCATCTTGAGAGAGCGGAAATGGCTAATCCATTTTACGTCAGCAGTCATTTCTGCATATGAAAGTCAGAGATTCTAGTGAATCTATAAAACCAAAGTTTCCAATTAACATGACCTTTACCCTAATAAGTTACAACAACAGTCAGTGTCACATACAGTTGTTGTGTTATTTCTAGTGACAATTTTAAGGAGCTTTCAGCAAGGTTGTATATGATGTGATCTATGAATGTGCTTATAAATGATTGACAATCTATAGATTACAAAACATTGATAAAGCAAAACAACAAAATAGTCCCACTGAAAAAATAAGTCAACCAAAACATCAGGAGTGCATCAGGAGGGGACTTGCCTTTCTCCTTTTTGGGGGGTGGGGTAGGGTGTTTTTTTTTACTCAGATAGGGAGTAGTCACTCAGCACAAGTCTTGCATCATTTTCTCTGTGTTGCTACATTTCCTATTGAGACTTCCTGTCATATGTAAAGAAATAAGCAGTAGTAGGCAGTAGGCAGTACGCAGTAAGCAGTTTGTCTAGGCACAAGGAACACCATGCTAGCTCAAAACAAGCTTTGACATTTTCACTAACATTTAGTATGACTGGGTATCTGACACAATTACAGTGGCTTGCGAAAGTATTCACCCCCCTTGGCATTTTTCCTATTTTGTTGCCTTACAACCTGGAATTAAAATTGATTTTGGGGGGGTTTGTATCATTTGATTTACACACGATCCCTACCACTTTGAAGATGCAAAATATTTTTTATTATGAAATAAGAAAGAAAACTTGAGCGTGCATAACTATTCACCCCCGCAAAGTCAATACTTTATAGAGCCACCTTTTGCAGCAATTTCAGCTGCAAGTCTCTTCGGGTATGTCTCTATAAGCTTGGCACATCTAGCCACTGGGGGTTTTGACCATTCTTCAAGGCAAAACTGCTCCTGCTCCTTCAAGTTGGATGGGTTCCGCTGGTGTACAGCAATCTTTAAGTCATACCACAGATTCTCAATTGGATTGAGGTCTGGGCTTTGACTAGGCCATTCCAAGACATTTAAATGTTTCCCCTTAAACCACTCGAGTGTTGCTTTAGCAGTATGTTTAGGGTCATTGTCATGCTGGAAGGTGAACCTCCGTCCCAGTCTCAAATCTCTGGAAGACTGAAACAGTTTTCCCTCAAGAATTTCCCTGTATTTAGCGCCATCCGTCATTCCTTCAATTATGACCAGATTCCCAGTCCCTGCCGATGAAAAACATCCCCACAGCATGATGCTGCCACCACCATACTTCACTGTGGGATGGTGTTCTCGGGGTGATGATAGGTGTTGGGTTTGCGCCAGACATAGCGTTTTCCTTGATGGCCAAAAAGCTCAATTTTAGTCTCATCTGACCAGAGTACCTTCTTCCATATGTTTGGGGAGTCTCCCACATGCCTTTTGGCGAACACCAAACATGTTTACTTATTTTTTTCTTTAAGCAATGGCTTTTTTCTTGCCACTCTTCCGTAAAGCCCAGCTCTGTGGATTGTACGGCTTAAAGTGGTCCTATGGATAGATACTCCAATCTCCACTGTGGAGCTTTGCAGCTCCTTCAGGGTTATCTTTGGTCTCTTTGTTGCCTCTCTGATTAATGCCCTCCTTGCCTGGTCCGTGAGTTTTGGTGGGCGGCCCTCTCTTGGTAGGTTTGTTGTGGTGCCGTATTCTTTCCATTTTTTAATAATGGATTTAATTGTGCTCTGTGGGATGTTCAAAGTTTTATATATTTTTTTATAACCCAACCCTGATCTGTACTTCTCCACAACTTTGTCCCTGACCTGTATGGAGAGCTCCTTGGTCTTCATGGTGCCGCTTGCTTGGTGGTGCCCCTTGCTTAGTGGTATTGCAGACTCTGGGGCCTTTCAGAACAGGTGTATATATACTGACATCATGTGACAGATCACATGACACTGAGATTGCACACAGGTGGACTTTATTTAACTAATTATGTAACTTCTGAAGGTAATTGGTTGCACCAGATCTTATTTAGGGGCAAAGGGAGTGAAAACATATGAAACAATTTTTTATTTTATTTCACTTCACCAATTTGGACTATTTTGTGTATGTCCATTACATGAAATCCAAATAAAAATCCATTGAAATTAAAGGTTGTAATGCAACAAAAGAGGGAAAAACGCCAAGGGGATGAATACTTTTGCAAGGCACTGTAGGCCTATACAGCCAACACAAGGATGACATTGTTAATGACAGCTGACTTGTCTATGAATCAGCCAGGGCCTGGCAAGTACCGTACAGGCCTATTTATACGGTTGCAAATCCTTTGTTATGTGCAACAGAGATGTATTAATTAAACAGTATCCGAATAGAAGTTAGTAGATCTGTGAAAAGGGAGAGAGGAGACGACGATGGTTGGCTTGTGGAATGTTAATTATATTGACAAATAAATACACTTGCAGTTTCTGTTTGTTGTGCATACTTGCAGTAATACATTCCCAAATATTTATTGTGCTTGAACTGTGTTGATGCCATAGACTTGGTCCTTGCTCATGTCATCAATATGCTTATATGAAATAAAAAGAAAACCCCTGTACTACAATAATCAGAGTAGGTTCTATAGATTAAATAGGTAAACATGATGTATTGTAAATATATGTTTGTTAAACTGATAGTATGGTAATACAGTAGCTGAATTGTCTGATGTTCCATTTCAGTGGGAAGACTGTCATTCCAATTCAATGGCACCTGACGTCATTCCCTGGTAACAACGTATGTTGTGGATGCCAGGAGTGGGAGAAGGTCCAGGAAAATGGCGGCGAGTAGTGTGGAAGAAATGGAGAGAAGGTTGGAGAAGCAACAGCTTTGCTGGAATTCAATCAATATGGGTGTCAGTTCTGATACTATGCAGAGGGAGGATGAGGGTCAGGGATTGGGAGAGGGAGTGTGTGGTAGAAGTTAGTTTATTTGGTTTTTAATTTAATTTTCATGGTAGTACAGAATTGGGCAGATCATGATTGATCGTTCATTCCAGCACAGTAGGTGGCGGCATGCACTTTAAACGTTTGTTTGCAGACCGCCATGATATCATAGAAGAAGAAGAAGAAGAAGAAGAAGAAGAAGAAGAAGACAATAGGGTCCAGCTGCCATGTCATCTCTCAGAGCAGTCATCCCTCAGGTTCCCTATGCTGCCACCTACTGATATGTCATCTCTCAGGGGAGTGCATCTCTCAGGGTGGGCATTTAAAAGGAACCATATAAGGAGGGGTTTCGAAAGGAACCATATAAGGAGGGGTTTCGAAAGGAACCATATAAGGAGGGGTTTCGAAAGGAACCATATAAGGAGAAGTGGGGATTTCGAAAGGAGTCTCTTAACACTAGTAGCGCTGGAATTCCATAACTACTAGAACCACCATGACTTGATATTTCAATTATTATTATTATTTCAAATATTCAATAATAAATAATACATTGTAAAATTAATGCATTTGTTATAAGTTAAGGTAGCTAATGTAAATAGCATTTACATTGACGAAAACCGTAATGTTGACATAGCAGCAGGAGGCAGCATAGAGACCATGAGGGATTACTGCACTGAGAGATGACATATCAGCAGGAGGCAGCATAGAGACCATGAGGGATGACTGCACTGAGAGATGACATATCAGCAGGAGGCAGCATAGAGACCATGAGGGATGACTGCACTGAGAGATGACATATCAGCAGGAGGCAGCATAGAGACCATGAGGGATGACTGCACTGAGAGATGACATATCAGCAGGAGGCAGCATAGAGACCATGAGGGATGACTGCACTGAGAAATGACATATCAGCAGGAGGCAGCATAGAGACCATGAGGGATTACTGCGCTGAGAGATGACATATCAGCAGGAGGCAGCATAGAGACCATGAGGGATGACTGCACTGAGAAATGACATATCAGCAGGAGGCAGCATAGAGACCATGAGGGATTACTGCGCTGAGAGATGACATATCAGCAGGAGGCAGCATAGAGACCATGAGGGATGACTGCACTGAGAAATGACATATCAGCAGGAGGCAGCATAGAGACCATGAGGGATTACTGCGCTGAGAGATGACATATCAGCAGGAGGCAGCATAGAGACCATGAGGGATTACTGCGCTGAGAGATGACATATCAGCAGGAGGCAGCATAGAGACCATGAGGGCATCTTCTTTGAGGAAGAGTATGTGCAAAAGATGGCGGAAGCGGACGCTGAAGTGGATTGTGAATCTAATGGCGGTAGAATCAAAGAGAATTTTAATATTGTCCAAAATAATGGAAAACAGAGCAAAGTAGTGTACAGTGCTGAGAATGTCCCTTTGTATGTTGTAGGAGTACGGTTTCTTAATGAGGAGTAGCTGATCGGATTACCAATCTTGAAGAATCCATTTGAGATATTCAAACTGGTGGAGAGCGTGCTGGGTAAAGTGAAGGCTGTGAGGATCACTAGAGGCGGGCTTGTTTTGATTTGTTGTACCTCTGCGGATCAAAAGGAACATGTGTTGCGTCTCACCCGATTTGATAAGTTTGACAAGTCGTGTGTGTCTCTTCGGAACCGGGCACCCCTCAAGGGGGTAATATCTGGCGTCTTGTGGGAAGTCGATGTTGAAGAGATGAAAAATATTCCTGGAGTGATTGATGCAGGTCGGATGAATTGTGTGGTGAATGATGAAAAAGTGAAGAGTATCTGCTCTTTGTTTTTTGATATGGAGTCTCTCCCTACTCAAGTGCAGTTGTCACCGTAAAGCTTTTGATCATGTTTCAAGTGTTTGCAGAAACTGAGATGTCCAAGTTGTGGAAAATATCATGTAATGTGTTTTAAAAGTGATGAAATTGTGACATGTTGCAATTGTGGTTGGAACCATGAAGCCACGTCTTTCGAATGCCCGACAAGGGTGAAAGAGAATGAGGTGGCCAAAGTCAGGGCTATCCAGAGCATATCATATGCAGCAGCTGTTAAAAGGGTTGAGGGTTTGAATGGTGCACTTGAAGAGTCCATGGTGGTGGATAGGCCTTCATTGCAGGCTGCAGGGGTTGCCTTTCACCAGCAGGACCATGATATTTTAAAGGTTAAGAAGGTGGACTTTGTGGCCTTTATAGCTATGGAGATTAATGGCACTGCAAAGGTGGAGCAGTCCAGAAAATATATATTATTGTGGATGCGGCGGAGCGGTTCCTGGGGCTGAAATATTTCTCAGAGAAGGAGTTACATGGAATATTGTCACAAGCTGTACCACCCTATGAGGCCCTAGAGCCTGAGAAGGGAGATATGGAGATTTGAAAGATGGAAGAAGTGGGAGTTTTGTTTGGCTTTTGTCAATTTACTATTTTTATTTGGGTGGATTAAGTTAGTTTCCCTATCACCTATGGATTTTATTTGTACTTTTTTGTTTTTCAACCCGTCCAGTTGGTGGCGGCAAAACACCTTTTTGGGTTGTAGTCCGCGAAGAAGAAGAAGAAGAAGAAGAAGAAGAAGAAGAAGAAGAAAGTCAATTGTTGCACCCGAAAGTTTGGTAGTAGGAGTACAGACACAATATGATGCTCATTGTCAACAGAGGGATCCTGACATGTTATGAAGGTGGACTTTGTAGCCTTTATTAATTTGGTTATCAACTGCGCAGCGCAAACGGAGAGGAAATCGGACAAAATAGGCATCATTGTGAGTGCGGTTGAGCGTTTTCTGGTACTTAGGGACTTTTCTGCAGAGGCATTACAAGGAATCCTGTCGATGAATGCTCCGTCCTCACAGGCACCTGAGCCTGTGTAGATGTGACTGAAGGAGTGGGATGGTGTTACATTTATTTTTGTATTATCTCAGCCGCCCCCCCCTTCCCGCAATGGAATATATTATTTTTGTTTTGTTTCAATACCCCGTACAGTAGGTGGCGGCAATACACCAATAGGTGTAGTCTGCCATAAAGAACACGTCGAAGCTGGACCCCTCCCGAAGAAGAACGTCTGTTGTGGTTGCCTAACTAGTTATTTGATAGCGCAATCGAATTTCATGGGGGAAAAGTTTCACGGCAAAAATGCCACCTTTTTTTAGGGGGGAATGAATGCATGAAAAGCGGAGATAAATCAACCCAAAAAGAGGGCATGGGATTTGGAAATAGTGTTCTGACGATGCGTTGTCTTAAGGTGGAAAATATTTCCAACGGTCGCAGATACGAGACTTGGAGCAACAATTGGAAAGTGAGAGTTTTCATTGGCTGCACTGTTTGAGAAATAATGTTGCGCGTGGACACCGACAGACAATGTGTCAGATTATTGTTTGAACGTCTAGTAGATGGCTATAGTCTAATGTAACCCGGAAACACTCTTCACGCAACTTTGATACCGAAGTTACTTTTTCGTAGCAGGTTAGGAGACTGAGGTGAAGGTTATGAAAAGGGTTTGCGAAAATGCTCTCCTAACTTGCTACGAAAATCACTGTATCGAAGTGGTGTGAAAATAATTTGTCCCTAATGTAACCAGGTAGGGTAGGCAAAAAGACAACCCATCATAGCCATTACGCAAACTGCACGTAACGTGCGTAAAAGAGGCAATTAATCATTAATGCAAATCATCAAAATATTTGTTATTGATAAAATACTGCCCATTAGTACGAAATCAACCATAAAAATATAAAACTCTATCCTTTGAATTCCATGATTTGAATTCCCCCCTATTTAAATGGCATCCTATTTTCTTAACAGCTTTGCAGATATCAGCACAAATGTGATGAGTTGTAGGTGCAACACAAGGACTTCTCCTCTCAGTACTTTACTGTTGAGAAGGACATAGCGCTCTACCAGAAGTGCTTGCTGGCCCAGAAGGAGGATGAGCTCACAGACCTGTCAGAGCAACTGGTGGGACAGCATCAGGCCAAGGACGCTGAGAAGGACTCCTTTGAGCTGCAGCTCAGTCAACTCCGCCAAGAGTTCCAGGAGAACAAGGACAAGCTCACCTTAGAGAACATGGTTCCTGGTAAGATAAAGAACCTCGATACCACAGCATCCCATCCACATGATCCACCACCAGGCTTTTATTTAAATCCAGCTCCAACATACCTGATCCTGTGGTTTGAATTCAAGATTATTATACGTTGATAATTTTATTTTATTACTCCTCTCTCCATCCCAATGCAGCGGGTAAGCTGGCAGCTCCGGAGGAGTCCCGTGTGCAGAAGGAGGAGCTGATGGCCCACCTGAAGAGCCTGGAGGAGCAGCTGAAGCAGAGACAGGAGCACCACACAGTCAACTACAGCCTAGAGAGGAAGGCCGTGCTGGACAACGACAGATCAATGCCATATGTACACTGAGTGTACAAAACATTAAGAACACCTGCTCTTTCCATGACAGACTGACCAGGTGAATCCAGGTGAAAGCCATGATACCTTATTGATGTCACTTGTTAAATCCACTTCAATCAGTCTAGATGAAGGGGAGGAGACAGGTTAAAGAAGGATTGTTAAGCCTTGAGACAATTGAGACATGGATTGTGTATGTGTGCCATTTAGAGGGTGAATGGGCAAGACAAAAAATGCCTTTGAATGGGGTATGGTATTAGGTGCCAGGCGAACCGGTTTGTGTCACGAACTGCGACGCTGCAGTTTTTTTCACACTCAACAGTTTTGTATCAAGAATGGTCCACCACCCAAAGGATATCCAGCCAACTTGACACAACTGTGGGAAGCATTGGAGTCAACATGGGCCAGAATCCCCGTGGAACGCTTTCAACTCCTTGTAGAGTCAATGCCCCAACGAATTGAGGCTGTTCTGAGGGCAAAAGGGACGGGGGGTGCAACTCAATATTAGGAAGGTGTTCGTAATAATTGGTATACTTTGTGTATATACCCTGTATTATTGGGTCACTGCTGCTCAAAACCTTCCTTCTCTCTGCATCTAAACATATTTTCACTCCAAACATATTTTTGCCATAAAATCATTCATTGACAGAAAGGGAGGGGGTCCCATACAGCAGTAACTACAGTGGCAGCCTTTAAAAACAACATCAATATAAAACGTGTATGTTCCAACCAGGGACACTAACTCCTGCTCTCCTCCCTCCCTGTGCCCTCTAGACTAGAGTTTCCCAAACTCTGTCCTGGGGCCCTCCCCTGGGTGCATGTTTAGTTTATTGCCCTAGCACTACACAGCTGATTCAAATAACCAACTCATCATCACGCTTTGATTATTTTGAATCTGCTGTGTAGTGCTAGGGCAAAAACCAAAACGTGCACCCAGAAGGGGCCCAGGACCGAGTTTGGGAAACCCTGCTCTAGACTAAAGAAGGAGATGTAGCAGCACATGGCGGCGGTGGCAGCCGAGTTCCGGCACGTGTCGGACAGGAAGATGCCAGAGACGACCATGAGGGCCATCCATGAGAATGTGTCTGTGATCGCTCAGCCAGCTGTCGGACAAGAGCAAGCAGCTGCTCGAGGAGAACAAGGACCTGAAAGAGAGAGAGAAACTGATCAACAGAGAACTGGAGAACCTTGAGCCCCTGTTCAACAAGGTGACCCGCAAGAGCCTCGGCAACAAGAAGAGGTGTGGGTGTGTGTGAGAGAGAAAGTGCATGATTTCGGTGTATCGACACCTCCACATAATGACAGGGCCTGTTTGACCGCTGACTAGTTACCTTCCTCTCTTCTAATCTTCTCTCTTCATCAGGTTTTCCATCAGCTCACAAAGTGTAAGCAGAAGCAGGCTGAGCTGGAGGAGTATGCCAGGGCTCAGGAGGAACATCAACAACTGCAGAGATCCATGCCCGAAGGTTTGATGATTCCATTCAGAATTAAAATAGACTCCAGAGTTCAAATGTATTAAAAAAAACCCGGAAATATCACATTTACATCAGTATTTAGACCCTTTACTCAGTACTTTGTTGAAGCACCTTTGGCAGCGATTACAGCCTCGAGTCTACTTGGGTATGACACTACAAGCTTGGCACACCTGTATTTGGGGAGTTTCTCCCATTCTTCTCTGCAGATCCCCTCAAGCTCTGTCAGTTGGATGGGGAGCGTCGCTGCACAGCTATTTTCAGGTCTCTCCAGAGATGTTTGATCGGGTTCAAGTCCGGGCTCTGGCTGGGCCACTCAAGGACATTCCGAGACTTGTCCCGAAGCCACTCCTGTGTTGTCTTGGCTGTGTGCTTAGGGTGATTGTCCTGTTGGAAGGTGAACCTTCGCCCCAGTCTGAGATCCTGAGCGCTCTGGAGCAGGTTTTCATCAAGGATCTCTCTGTACTTTGCTCCGTTCATCTTTCCCTCGATCCTGACTAGTCTCCCCGTCCCTGCCGCTGAAAGAAATCCCAACAGCATGATGCTGCCACCACCATGCTTCACCGTAGGGATGGTGCCAGGTTTCCTCCTGACATGACTCTTGGCATTAAGGCCAAAGATTTCAATCTTGGTTTCATCAGACTGAGAGTCCTTTAGGTGCCTTTTGGCAAACTTTTAATGAGGAGTCTGTCTGGCCACTCTACCATAAAGGCCTGATTGGTGGAGTGCTACAGAGATGGTTGTCCTTCTGGAAGGTTCTCCCATCTCCACAGAGGAACTCTGGAGCTCTGTCAGAGTGACCATCGGGTTCTTGGTCACCTCCCTGACCAAGGCCCTTCTCCCCCGATTGCTCAGTTTGGCCGGGCGGCCAGCTCTAGGAAGAGTCTTGGTGGTTCCAAACTTCTTCCATTAAAGAATGATGGAGGCCACTGTGTTCTTGGGACCTTCAATGCTGCAGAATTATTTTGTGTGTAGATTGCTGAGGGGAAAAAAGTATTTAATCCATTTTAGAATATGGCTGTAACGTAACAAAATGTGGAGAAAGTCAAGGGGTCCGAATACTTTCCGAAAGCACTGTACATGCTCCAGATCATCATGGCTTCTTGGTCCTCTTCTCAAGGCCACCACCCACCTGTCTCACTTCAAGACAGGAGTCCTGGGCCTTGTACCGCGTTGGACACCCAACTACAACCACATCCTGTCCAAGATCATCCGCCTTCAACTTCACAGGTGATTGAGCTGCATTTTATGCTGCTGTTTTCATGCTTGTCAAAAATATTCTTTTGATTAGTAAATGCAATAAATGTCCTCAGTGTATATTGTAGCTTAGTTACAGAGATACTGAATGGGTGATTTTTGTTGTATTATATTAAAGAGATCGGAAGTATATAAAAAAAAAAGTGGTGTATTTTGTAATGTAAATTTTGTTTTAATAGATCAGATTTGTGTCAATGTCTTGTTAACCGTAGCCTCTCTGTTCGTCGGGAAACCCCCACCGCCCTAGAAGAGGACTAGTCCATCCAAACCCTCTGGTCCAGAGTGCCTGGCTCCTCTGCTGGGTGACCCTCCCAGAGGGAGCTTGTTTTCCCCCCACAGACCCTCCCCAACCAGGGGTAGCCCCGCTGAACCCATCCTCAGATAGGCAGGGCTAGGACTGGGCTTTAAAGCCCTTTTTAATGTGACATTTTCAACAGAAAATAAATGGTGCTACATGGTTATGCAAAAAAATTTGTGTTATTTTGTGTTATGAGTTATTTAAAGACTGTAGCTGGGGGGGGGGGCTTTAATTGGCTCATCGCGCTCTATCGACTCCTTGTGGCGGGCCGGACGCCTGCAGGCTGACTTCGGTCGTCAGTTGAACGGCGTTTCCTCCGACACATTGGTGCGGCTGGCTTCCGGATTAAGCGAGCGGGTGTTAAGAAGCGTGGTTTGGCGGGTCATGTTTTGGAGATCGCATGACTCAACCTTCGCCGCTCCCGAGCCCGTTGGGGAGTTGCAGCGATGAGACAAGATCATAATCACAAAATTGGGGAGAAAAGGGGGGTAAAAATAAAATAAAAATATAAATGTATACTCAAAAGATGAAGACATACTGTAACACAGCCATTGTCCACCTACTAAATCGAATATGTACAGTGGGGAGAACAAGTATTTGATACACTGCCGATTTTGCAGGTTTTCCTACTTACAAAGCATGTAGATGTCTGTAATTTTTATCATAGGTACACGTCAACTGTGAGAGACGGAATCTAAAACAAAAATCCAGAAAATCACATTGTATGATTTTTAAGTTATTAATTTGCATTTTATTGCATGACATAAGTATTTGATACATCAGAAAAGCAGAACTTAATATTTGGTACAGAAACCTTTGTTTGCAATTACAGAGATCATACGTTTCCCGTAGGTCTTGACCAGGTTTGCACACACTGCAGCAGGGATTTTCGCCCACTCCTCCATACAGACCTTCTCCAGATCCTTCAGGTTTTGGGGCTGTCGCTGGGCAATACGGACTTTCAGCTCCCTCCAAAGACTTTCTATTGGGTTCAGGTCTGGAGACTGGCTAGGCCACTCCAGGACCTTGAGATGCTTCTTACGGAGCCACTCCTTAGTTGCCCTGGCTGTGTGTTTCGGGTTGTTGTCATGCTGGAAGACCAACCACAACCCATCTTCAATGCTCTTACTGAGGGAAGGAGGTTGTTGGCCAAGATCTCGCGATACATGGCCCCATCCATCCTCCCCTCAATACGGTGCAGTCGTCCTGTCCCCTTTGCAGAAAAGCATCCCCAAAGAATGATGTTTCCACCTCCATGCTTCACGGTTGGGATGGTGTTCTTGGGGTTGTACTCATCCTTCTTCTTCCTCCAAACACAGCGAGTGGAGTTTAGACCAAAAAGCTATATTTTTGTCTCATCAGACCACATGACCTTCTCCCATTCCTCCTCTGGATCATCCAGATGGTCATTGGCAAACTTCAGACGGGCCTGGACATGCGCTGGCTTGAGCAGGGGGACCTTCCGTGCGCTGCAGGATTTTAATCCATGACGGCGTAGTGTGTTACTAATGGTTTTCTTTGAGACTGTGGTCCCAGCTCTCTTCAGGTCATTGACCAGGTCCTGCTGTGTAGTTCTGGGCTGATCCCTCACCTTCCTCATGATCATTGATGTCCCACGAGGTGAGATCTTGCATGGAGCCCCAGACCGAGGGTGATTGACCGTCATCTTGAACTTCTTCCATTTTCTAATAATTGCGCCAACAGTTGTTGCCTTCTCACCAAGCTGCTTGCCTATTGTCCTGTAGCCCATCCCAGCCTTGTGCAGGTCTACAATTTTATCCCTGATGTCCTTACATAGCTCTCTGGTCTTGGCCATTGTGGAGAGGTTGGAGTCTATTTGATTGAGTGTGTGGACAGGTGTCTTTTATACAGGTAACGACTTCAAAGAGGTGCAGTTAATACAGGTAATGAGTGGAGAACAGGAGGGCTTCTTAAAGAAAAACTAACAGGTCTGTGAGAGCCAGAATTCTTACTGGTTGGTAGGTGATCAAATACTTATGTCATGCATAAGTATTTAATTGCTCCTGTAAGTCGCTCTGGATAAGAGCGTCTGCTAAATGATTAATTATTATATTATTATTATTATCATGCAATAAAATGCAAATTAATTACTTAAAAATCATACAATGTGATTTTCTGGATTTTTGTTTTAGATTCCGTCTCTCACAGTTGAAGTGTACCTATGATAAAAATTACAGACCTCTACATGCTTTGTAAGTAGGAAAACCTGCAAAATCAGCAGTGTATCAAATACTTGTTCTCCCCACTGTAGTTCATTAAGTAATAAACAGCCAGTGCTTGAGGAAAATACTTAAACATTACTGAACTTTATAAGGCTGACTTACTACAAGGTTCAATGGTTGTTGTGTGGACAGAATGTGGTCTGTTGTACAGAATATCTGCACATCTGTAAGTAAATAAATTGGTGTTTGACATAGTCAAGGTCTCTATAATACAAAGTCTATGAGGACATTTTTTAAGTGACACTACTGGACCCCAGATAATGTGAAACAATGGTGCTTGTTTTCTGACAACAATGTTCACATCTTTATCATATCAAAGCTATGTGACTGGATGCATGTGAAGAAGGGAATGTGGATGGGGACATTTCTTCAATCTTTTTGTGAGCCGATTGCTAACCTTTTGTCACTACTAAACAGTTTTTCACTGTCATAATTCAAAGCTATTTTCTTGGTGCCTTTACCAATCAAACCTAGTTAAAAATATATCTCCCTAAAATGAATCAGTGTCTCATTTATAGGGGCATATCTTTTGACAGTCCATGAGAAGACATCAGACAGTAGCTCCTTTTTATTAATGTGATTCATCACTTTCCTCTCAGTGGTAATTCTCAGGTGAAAGTACCTGTCTTCTCAACCCCTGAAAATAGATGATTTATCTCTTTAAGTGGGCCATTGAGGTTTTGAGAATCCACTGTAGAGGTTTCTGTGCTGGATCCACTCGTTGTCCCTGCCCCGGCTATTAAAATGGATCCTGAAAAGTTAAACACATCGACACATTGTGCTGCTTGGAGCCGCCTAGATGCAACTAGAGCCTGAAGAAAAACAGATGGTTTGTCTGAGCTGGCCCATGTCCTGTTTTATTATTCACTTTCAACAGCAGACAGACAGACCCCTCGGCTTCTGCTAAAAGGCAGTCAGTCTGCATCTGAAATGGCACCCTATTCCCCATATGCACTATATTTGACCAGAGCCCTAGGGTGCGGGCCAAATGTAGTGCATTAAAAAGGGTATTGGGTGTCATTTCAGATTCACACAGCCATCAGAAGCTGTTATCTAACATTTCAGTGTTTTCAAGTGATGCTGCCTTATTTTGGGAACAGATGGTTACCCACCATAGCATGGGCATCTATACTTAATGGATGAGTGCCATCTGAACTGCAGTCTAGTGAGACTAAGGCGTTGGCATAGCAATCAAGTACATGGTGATATATTATACAGTGCTCTCCATGCTTCAGTTATGAACGTGTTCAGTATTGATGATACTTGTATGATGCATGAGTTCAGTGCAGAAATTGATTGAATAGATCAGGTGTCTCTCATAGTCTTCACTCCTCAATAAAAAAATGCCAATGGTCAATGTGTTAGGTTAGAGCATGGTGCTTGTAGCATTAGGGTTGTGAGTTCAAATCTCTCATTGACCACTTATACTGAATATAGGCCTATGTGTCATTAACCAGCTTTTCATCCAACCATTTCATGTGGATGAATTACCTGATGCATGGAAAAAAAGTCACGACCGGTCTGATGGAAACAGGATATGCTGGTACAATTTTATAAATGCCGACAGACAATTTGTTTGTTTCGACATGGTGGGATCTTTTTGTGTCGGTAAAATGTATTATGCAAGAAATTGGGAAGATAAATGACAAGTATAAATGTAAACTAAAATGATTGACAACTGTTCAATAACTGCACTACTAAAGTGTTCTATATCCCTAAAATATACTTACTGACCTGGACACTTAACAACAGAAACACCATTTCCTGTAACAAGTAGCAAATTACGTCCTGTGCCCTAAGACAGAGAACATTTCTGTTGCAGACAGGTTACATTTTAGAAAGATCAAGTTTGTCAGCGTTCTTGCGCTGAGCCTGGCATGATGAGGCCTCCATGACTAAACACTCTCCACTGGGGCACTGGTGGCAGGCACAGCCAACACTGTCATTGCTACCTTCTTGAGCCTCGGAAAGTCTTTCGCATGGATTCTCCAAAAATCCAAGCAATCAACTTCATTTTCATCAGAAGATAGTTGAATGTAGCGAATAATCTCTGCTCTGACAGATGACTTTATGTCTCCTTTCTTCTTGCTGATCTTGTTGCGGTAGCCAGAGAACAGTCAGGAGGTTTTGGCAGGTGGTTGTTCTTCTTCTTCTCCACTACTGCTCTCCGTAACGGTGACTTTCCGTGCCTCAGCGAAAACAAGGTCTGAAAAAAAATCTTTCAATTATGTATAGAATCAAGAATATAACAGGATACATTATACATGAAAACAAATTATTATTATTTGAATGCAAGTGGCATAGAAAACGTTGCATGTTGCAATGCATTGTACTTACCAATCAGACTCTCCTTCAATTCAGCTTTATCTTCATGTGGTATGAGGACATCATGATCAAGCCAGAACAGGCAGAAAGATGGGTCCAGCAGTGCAGCCATTATGTATACATTGTCACCAAATGGAAGTTTTGTTGACTGTTCATCCGAGTGCTCCATTCTGACGTTCACAAACACCCCCTGGAATCGGCGTTTGAGGGACTGCTGCAGTGCTTTTACTAGACTGTCTAGGTGACGACTTGTGCTCAGTATACTTTGCAGATGATAGTTGAGTGACAGTACACAAGGAAGGGCAGCACTGAGAGTCACCACTTTCTCCCCCTGAGTAAGGTCAGTGGCCTGGACAAAAGGGTCCAAAATGTCCACTAGCTCCAATAGCTGGCTCCATTCCCTTGGTGATAAGCAGAGCTCCTTGTGTCCTTGGGCCTCAAGCAGAGTATTGAGGCTTTGTTGATTCAGATTGGTGACTGCTTTAACAAGCCGGAGGATGGAATTCCATCTGGTAGACACAGCAGCAGG